CTAATATCTTCCTTCATTCTGTATGAATCTTGTTGTTTTGCTTCTTCTCATGAGGTCGGACAGCTTCAATAAGCTGCATATATAACCTGTTCTCTTACCTTTGCTGGGAGATTGTTTGTCGTCGTGGTGATTTGTGCCGGTTCTTATCAGCAATAAAAGACGAACATTACTGGGAGCAGCGGGCTTCACTCCTCAACACGTGCATGCAAAACCCGGCAGCCAGAGGCCAGCGCCTTTCCAATCAATACGCAAATTAACAAGACAAATGAAATTCACTTAATTACATTGGGCCTTTTCAATCAGGTGCAGACAGGGTGTCAGATAAGAATTTCTCCTGGCCCAGCAGGAACGTATTTACCTAATGCAGCTGTTTGCTAGTTCACATGGCACCGCTGCTGAAACAGAAGCTGGAGGGACAAATTGAGACCATGCATGGGGAAAGAAGATGAAAACGTCTTGCACACAAACAGATTCACTTTTGCATTCTGCTCAGTTTGCACCAAGCTTTCATACAGCAGCTCCCATAGCCCGACTCCAGACTAGCTATAAAACAGGAAGTGGCGGATGCAGAGATCCAATATGCATTGACTGCAGTGCTGGCTAGCTGTCTGACACACCATTTATACAAGGCGCTCTGCGCTCTAAACTTGCTGTTTCACCTGCTGATTTGTACACAGACTGACTTCTGCAGGCTCCAGCCTCTGAGAGACTGATGTTTGCTTCTGTCATGGGAACGGAGGTGGGGAGTGCAGAGCATTGTGATTTGTAATGCTGTTTATGCAGCCCATATGCTCTCAGTTTGACGCCTGTGTAGCTCCAGACCCGCAGAAGTGGAAAAAAGTTTTTCATATTTAAGAGCCCCTAGACCCCCATCTCTGCTGGAACTCCAACTCGCCTTGTAGACAAAGCAAACACTTCTCTGTCCTTCTCCTTCTTGTCCTCACTCTGCTTCTTGTCTTTGGTCGAAGTAGGAGGTAATGCATTATGTATGAGGAACCTCAAAGAGGCCCGGTCTTGTGCTAACCCTGTTGCTCCCTGACCATTTAAAAGGCTTCACATCTTATGAAGACCTTCTGGTCCACACCCAGCAGAGCTTTCTTTTCTTGCCTGTCACTCTTTGTTTGTCTCTCTGAGGCGTGTTCACAGCTTGAATTCCTATTTGCTGGAGAACACAAGAATGTTTAATTACTGTTATTGCAAAAGACGTTAAACGTGAGTTGCAGCAGCAGATGTTGTTTTTTCAACAAACTGAACAAAAAGATGAGAGGGGAAAAAAGTTCTGGAAGTACTCGTTGCTGATTGGCTGATCAGTGTTTGTTCTAATCCAGTAAATAACAGAGAAATATTTAAAGGGGCAGTGTTATGTGTTTTCCAGGCACATGGTGTCATTTTTTAGCACAATGAAGTAACTATGTTACTTTTAGTTTAGTTAAAAAATGCTGTATAACACCAGTTTTAAAGTCTCTCCACTGGCTCCCTGTAGATTTTAAAATACTGTTGTTGGTTTACAAATCACTGAACGGTTTGCTGTTGTTGTATCAACCTTCCAGACCTCTCAGGTCTTCTGGTTCTGGTCTCCTCTGCATCCCCAGAACCAGAACCAAGAGAGGAGAAGCAGCTTTCAGCATCTATGCGCCAAAAATTTGGAACAAACTTCCAGACAACTGTAAAACAGCAGAAACCCTGACTTCCTTTAAATCTCAACTAAAAACACACCTGTTTAGAATTGTACTTGAAATGTAATATGTAACAATGTATTGTTTATTTTATGATGCATGACTTTGTGTTTTTGTGTTTATGATGTAAAGCACTTTGAAATGCCTTGCTGCTGAAATGTGCTATACAAATGAAATTTAATTTGATTTTGATTTGATTTGATCAAACATGACTTAAAATAAATCTTACTTTGCAATTCAATGCCTTGAAATTGGGCCTCTGTCTCTTTAACAACGCCTCCTCTTTCTGAAACTCCACTTTCAGAAAGTCATCACTACTTGACTTATCTAGTTAGCACACGATTTGCTCAGACTGAAATAATAAACCGGTATCTACTTACTTGCCAAGGTTTATTTTGATAACTCTTGTTTATTTAGACTGTTACCAGACCAATAGGTGACTTTTTCCCTATTTATATGTTTTCCTGTTAGTTTTCCTTCAGAAACGTCGTGAATGTTTCAGTAAAGAAAAGCGTTACCTTACCCAGGACCAGCCTTGTTGTTACAAATTAGCCGCTGCTCCCAGGTGTTGTGTTTCCTTTAATGCTGTGACAACTGCAGTCATTTGATGTGGAACTGAATACTGATGAATCGCTGCACATAAAGGCCTGATTTAGCAATTGAAGCACTTGTTAAACTGTGTCGATCATTAGCCAGCAACACACAGTAGCTCAACAGTACATAAAAAAATCTGGCTTCTTCTTCCTGTAGTGGGGAATATGTCTGTACTCCCAGCTCTGCTCCAGCAGATCCTCTGTTTGAACTACTCTGTCAGTTTTAGTCCATCTCTCAGTTTTGTTTCGCCTCTCACGTGCCTGCTTCGTATCGCCAATTGACCTTCTCCCAAATTTAGTGCTAACTCATGCTTACTCTAAATTGGTCCTCTCTCTCCTCTTCTGTCACCTTGTCCACAGATTGTTGCTGCATTTTTATCCTTTCCTCTTCTTATTTTTCTCCTGTCTTCCATTTGGCTCTTACAGGAGCCTGTGACTCTCACTTCTGATTTCAATCTCCTTGGCTTTTTTCTTTGAGACAGCTGAAATCCATCATTAGCTCCCTTGAAAATTATGACATTATTCTGAAAACAACCTCCTTAACTTGACCAAACAATCAGTTGTCAAGCTAGCCATTCTTTTTTTAAAGCCTTACCCATTTCTCCTCTCAAAAATGGTTCACATTACAGACCCAATCAGACTTATAAATACATTTGTTAAAAAAATAATCTTTAATTCCACCTGGTGAGAGTTCAAGATGACAGCATTTTACGGCCATTGTAGATAGAAAGAAAAGAAGAGTAGTTTAGGCAGAAATATTTTGACATCTCGCAAATTTTCTAGATGAAACAAGGATATCACTGAGTTCCAAAAGTCAAAATTTGGAAGAGAAATTTCAGACATTTTGAAATTAATCTCATATATTTTGTGGAAAGAACAAAGAAATTTTTAGAGTTTGAAAAGTCAAAACATTGGCTGTAGTATAACAAAACAGATGAACTTCCATTGTAATTTTCAAACTGTTGTAATTTCAGCAGAATGCTCAAATCCATTTGACCAACTAGGAAACATTTTTCGCTATTTTGCATTTTAAAGCCTGTGGTAAGATATCATCGCAGTTTTTGGTAACTTGTTCAAGATTAGTTCAAAATGGAAGTGCTAATTAGTGTTATATATGGAAGTGCTTAACTGCCAACTAGGAAAATCATTTCAGGAACAGTGTCCAAGTATCTTGTTAAAACAAGAAAGTTTCCTGTTATAATAAAATACAAAACTTGTTGAAAGTTGTTTTCTATTTAGTTTTAACAGGAAATAAAGCTTGTTGAAGACATTGTTCTGTACATCTGAACAAGACAAGCTGCAACCCAACCAGCAACACTGACAATCGCCCAGAGCCAACGCAGTGAGAAGATGGAGAGTCAGAAACTTGAGCTGAAGCTCAAAGTGCAGGGAAGTTGAAGCAGCAACAAGAGATTAGCGCATTGGCAGACTCCTGTGACTTCCAGCTTCAACTGACCGGCACATTCAGTCCGAATGAGTTAGAATGTCTGAGTTAGCAAAACTCATTATGGAGCTTTTTAAATCTATACTGAAACCAACTTGTTTTTTCTTCTATTTTTTTAATTGACACCCAGGAGCAAATGCTTTAGGTGCAAATTGAATCCTTAATTTTGGCACTGGACCTTTGTGAGTATAGCTTCAAGCTAGCCATGGGGAAAATTAGAAACAATGAACTGGTGGATTCACGCTGTGACAGGATGATATTTTTAATTGAAAAGCAGGATTTGCTGCAGTATTGGCATGAGACATAATTCCAGACATATTCACTCCAGAGACATCAGTAGAATTACCAGGTTTTCATTTCAGAACTTTAAGTGAAGTCCTGTGAGGAAGAGTTAATGGCAATAATTTTGGTGGACAGAGTTATCCTACCCTGAGATTTCCCTCGATTGTTCATAACTGGTGTGGATTTGATCGTAATTCTTCCACCGTCAATTCTCAAAGTAGAATCAACAGAAAGATACTATTGTTAAAGTATCTGAGTGCTGCGGATCACGCCAGCCCTGTTTAATTCCCTTTAACCGAATTCTCTATAACTTCTCTCTTTTTCTATAACAATACTAAACTTGTGCCAGAAATGTGATATGTGTACAACATATAAAAACAAAGCTAAATGTACAACTCCTTGCAACATCATCTGAAATATTTCCTGGTAGAGGACGACAGGTTTGTTTTTTGTGGGGTTTGTGGTACATTACGACTTTGTTCCACCTTACCCAGGGCAAAATGCTCTGCATAAATGATGAACTTAAATATAATAATAAATATAATACCACATTTCAAGATGCTTTGGGGTAATTGTCATTTCCTACTTGAACCTTTGGAGTTCAGTCTGCATAATGATGGATTGTCAGTGTGGGTTGGTACAAATGCCTTCTTATAGTTCTTTATGTAAGGTGCAAAGCACACCAGCTATCTTAACCAGTTCATTAACTTTTAATTTCCCATTTGAGTAAGTCAGAAAATAGAATGCAATAACTTATGTGTGATGTTTGTTGACTATTATAAGGAAAAAGAAAGAAAAAAAAACCCATCCCAACCTGCTTTTGGAAAATAATCTTCATTGAACAAATATATGCAGGTTAGCCTGCTTTGTGACATTTTTAATACATGAATGCCTCATACGGTTCGTTGCCATGCGTTTCGGATGAAGCAGGCAGGAAACCTTAAAGTGGTCATACAGCAGGTCTCACACTCTTCTTCCACATTTCTTCTGTCTTTCTCCTTCCAGAGCTAATAGATGGGACCCCAACCTTGAAAATCAACCATGGCTCTGGCACGCTTGTGCTACAGCTGCCAGGAAACATCAACGTGGCAGACAGGCGCTGGCATCGGCTGGATGTCCGTAGCAACAACAAGGTGAGACACTTCATTTAACACAGGCTGGCACTTGTTTTGCATATAACCTGCAGGTGTTAGCTTCACTCTGTGCAGTATGGCTGCAGATGTTCCACAAAACGGCTCTTAAAAAAATATAGCTGCATACAATGTTTATGTTTTATCCATTTATTATGGGATGGACAACACTGCAAATTCCATCCATGTGAATAGCCTGACATCCAGTCCATTCGGCCCTCAGCGTTTGACTTTTGTAATTGTATATTTATGATAACACTTGTTATGTTGAGCGTTAAGGTTGTTTCTTCGCTCACTGAAGATGCTTAAAGAGCAATTAAAAGCTGAATTTATCCGGAACATGCTATGAAAATGTACATGCCAGGAAACAGTTTTTTCTGGTTTTGCTTTATGTCACACTTATATGTTTACTAAAACAGATGTTTAAGTCATACATTTTGTAAAAAGGCATCTCAACTTCAATAATGATTTCATTCAGTCAAAGGAGAAAGCTTGCACTCGTTTTCTGACATTTACATGTTGCTCCCTTCAGTGGTTGTTGGTGCAGCGCCATCACAGGTGGGAGGGGAACAGTCTTTTCGATTAGTTCGGTTCTTTTGACACAGTGCAGTGTGAAAGAGAACCACAGCAGCTTTCACAAGTGTTAAAGTTTTAGTCCCCGGCTGAGCAGATTGTGTCTGCCAGGTGTGAAAACTCCATAAGATGTTTTTTGACCAATCTGCAGTGGTTTGGTAGTTATTCTGGGTTTTGTTGTGACCTCCTGGATGAGCTGTTATTAACACACATCTGTAGTAGTTTTGGTAGACTTGTCACATCTGGGGAGGTTCACTGGTCTTTCATATTTCTTCCATTTGTGATTAATAGTACCAATACCTTTATAAACCATTCCAGTCTGATAGATGAGAAGTAATTCTCATCTCTTCAATTTTCTTTAGATTGGGGCATAGTTTGCTTGTTTTGAGCTCTTTCAAGCACATTATACTAGATATTCATGAGTAAAGTTCTATTATTATTTTGTTGTTATTCCAATTTTATTCTGTCCTAAAAAATATAATAAATTCTGATGCTTCCTGTTGAGCCAATCTGAGTAATCTGAAGACCTAAAGAAAAGTGAAAAGAAATGCTTTTAGGGCGACATTACAGCTACATTACATACATATGAATAGTTCCCATAATAATTTTGCTTCATGCAAGCCTAATTATTTCCATCCAAACAAGGTAGATGGGAGTGATATAAAGCTGTCTGAATTGTACGGCACAAAGGCAGATAATTGCTGTGAAAGTGAAATGGATGGTTACAACAGCCTCCTTTGACACTTTAAAGTGAAATGAATTAGCTAAATTAGGCTCATCTTTATTTGACTGAGAACTGCCTGAAGCTTTTCACCTCCAAGGATTCTGAGTTTTATTCCTCCCTCAGAAATATCAACAAGACTTTTAGATATTCTATTTTTGGACGCTTTGATATAATGCAGCCTGACAACGTTGAGCTTTTCTGTCTTAGTTTAAGACAGAAACTAAGGAAGCAGCTGGACTGGACTCATGTCTACCTCCTTTTATCCTAACATCCTCAATTCACCTTATAGAGGTTTGGAGTTCAATACAAATAGGAGCCCTAACATGAGGCAGGGCTCCATTATGCGTCTTCAAAACTTTATCCCTCTGAACTTTTGTACTCCAAACCTTTAATCTAACTTGGGCTGTTAGTCCTGTACGGATCTGGTTACGTAAACTAACCAAATCTGCTGGCAGTGAGAGAGCTGCTACTACCTGCTCATGCATCGTCGTCTCCAGCTTGTTGAGGAGAGTTACTGCATGTGTGAGAGAGATAGAAAATAAATGTCTCACGAGGGCAGGACAATAGAAAAAATCATGAGGAAAAACGTAATCAGTATCAATAGAAAATATGTCCAATACTATAGTGATCATTTCACTGAACTCCAATTCAGAGCTGCACAGCTTTCTGGGGGATGTAGGCAGAGGAAAGGCTTTAGTCGTTGCACCTCACAGTCCAGGTAAGCAAATAGCTGCTTTTCTTTTAACCTTAAGACAGAGCATTTTGACATTTCAAAAATAAATTTGCTCACTGGAAACAATTTTTAAAAAACTCACTTTTCAATCTAACTGCCCTAGAATGAGGTAGTTTTATTTTTTTTTTGTACGCATTGGTGGGTCGCTGGTTTGATTCCCACTAAATCCACCTCTGTTTTTGTGTCTTTGGACACTTCTCCTGCCTTTTCCTGCTGGTGTTGGTGAGAAGAGCCAATGGCATGAAATGGCTGCCTGACAGAGCCGCCATCAGCGTGTGAATGTGTGAATGAATAGAAATGACTGATTTTACTGTAGATACATCTCATTTCATAATTTTTAAAAAAACTGAGGTGAATGTACTTTTCTTGCAGCATTAAGCAATGCGATCAACAACCAGATTTTACTACTGGAGGAAATGACGAAAAAGCTGACGTGAAGTATTGTGAGGATTATTGGGCTGCAAGTTTTTTGCACTCAGCCATCACGTGAACATGCTTATTCATGTGTAATTTTGATTCCATGTCTTTTTTAAAAATTGAAACATAGCAATTGCAAAATTGTGTTTTTTGACAGTTTTGCATATATCTATTATGGATTTGTGATGTTACCAAATAAAAAAATTCATATTTATTCATCATAACCAACAGGTTTCATTGCATCTTTTGAATCAATTTTTCTTTAGTATAAAAATAAATACTTCAGGTCAGCCTCACATCAATATCAACAGAATATTTAGCTCCAAAGGACAGCAATATTCCAAACAGTGTGAAGGCTAGACGGCTTTGAGACTCTATTGTTGCTGCAATCGGGACTAATCTGCATGGCGGTTATTTGAAATCAAATATGAATCTATTCACTTGTCCTGTATCGTCAGCCGAAGCTTATCCAGGCTGGAGATCTGACAGCTTGAGATCAAAAGCAGCGAGGGCACGGCTGTTTTCTGCAGATTTCAGCAGCCAAAGCCCTGAGTGCTATCATTTTACCACCACTGCGCTTTAGTGTTAGAGGAAAATGTGGTAAAAACCTGTAAAAAATGCTTCCAAACAATCAAATCGCTTTGGTGAGCCGTGCCAATGATCCTCTGATACCCCTTGAACTTTTTTACATTCTACTACAAATTTGAAGAGATTTTCATAGGATTTTGTGTAATGAAAGAAAATAATACATAATTCACAATGAGCATTTTATGGAATTGCATTCAGCTTTCATTGACTCAATACATTATAGAACCACCTTGTGTACCATCATCATGTAATAAAATAGTAAGTTATTACAAAAACAATAAATGGTATTTTAACCATTGATCTGTATATTTTAGAACAACACAGACTCACTTGTGGATGACGAGCAGTTGTGTCTGCTGTGTAACGACTAGCATAAGACCCGGCAGGTAGCCTTGAAGTGAGCAGTGCACACACAAATGAGTCACTGCTCCCATGATGATAGTAATACTAATAGGCCACAGGAAAGCAACTGTAATTCCATTCATTAAGATCCAGAGAAAAACAGGTTTTATTTGCTTTTGATGTGATTGCTTCCCACGAACGTAACCCTGATTTGTTTCCTCTGCAGGAAGTACGTTTCACCCTGGACCGATGTTCAGGAGCGGCTGTGATGGAAATGGAGGGTCTGGGCAGCTGGTTGACCACTGAGGACCACTCCTCCTGTGAAGTGATGGGTGTTACACCCAACACTGACAGGTACAGAATACATGTCTCATTTTCCAAACGGAGGAGCATTTAGAGGCACTCTGGAGTCTAATGTTTCACATTTAGAGATGCATTTGAGAATCATTAAAAAGTCAAAGCAATAGGAACATATAACATCAGGCATATGACAATGCTCAATTCTGCAATGTGTCACTGTTTATTGTTTATTTAACCAATACTAAACCAGAATGGAGAGGCAATTTGTGTAAAGCTTAGTATGTTACATGAATTTGTCTTTTAGTGAAGGGTTTACTGTGGGAAATTATTTACACACAGTTATCAAAATTCTGCCATAGTCGTCATCATGTCCTAATTCATTCATATTGGACTGCTCTGACCCACATGGGTTGAGCTCCTGCTGTGGGACACCTCGTTAATGTCACATTTAAGGTTAGCTTTATTTTACTTATTTTCTATGTCCTTATGTGTTTGTTGATTTGATCAAATCATTAACTTGCCTGGATTCACACCACATGATTTACTCTACTGTGTCATTTTGAGCACAAGCTGTTTGATTAGCAGCAGACTGCGTTCGTTGATTGTCCTGCAGAAACTGCAATTAGACCGTAGCAGTTGGTGAGATGGTGAGCTGAAAATGGAAAACTACCTGGTCCAAACCCTACAGCTTCCCCTGGATGGGGTAACCCACAGGAAACTAATATATTAAAACATTTCCTAACTGGTCACCCAAGAGTAGATGTGCAAAATGACATCAGCTTAGAGTCGACAGCAGGTCCTGCCAACAGCTCTCCCTAGTTCACGCCTGCTTTAGTGAGGAACTCTGCCAGTGGAGATACACCCAACTTGGCGAGAATCAAACCAAACATTAGAGTAAAACATGACAATGTAGGCGTTTGAGTCAGTTCAAAGACGTCCCAGTTGTTCATCCTTCCTGACAGACAGGAGGCCTCTATACAGCCAGGAAAGAGTTCTTCTCATCAAACTTAATTTCTTGCCTGATGATGTTTTAATATTTCTAATGTCTTTTGGTGTGCTGTACCAGCAGCCCTCATCCCTCTAGTGGCCTGGGTACTTCCATATCAGCCTGCCAGCACATTGTGAATCCCCCAGCAGCTGAAAATATATTCCATAAAATTAAAGGAATACAAACATCTGGTCTAATGTATGCTTATATTATCATTGTACAGGTCATTAAACCTGTAAAATTAAAACAGTCCTGGAGAGAAGCAGGAAGTATGGAATGAGTGGTGCAGAGGTCTAGAGCTCAAGATGCCTAATTTGATTCTTGACAAATTTCTTAGAGCTCATTTGGTGCTAGTGGCCTCAATGAAGAGTGCATTGACAAGAAATAAAGTGGAGAGAGGAGGAAGACATGCAGCAAATAACTCAAGAGTGGTAATAAAACCCACAGCAACCGCATTGAGAATGATATCAATGGCTCACTCTACCAAGTGAGCCACCTGACCATTTTCCCTTTTGATTCTATGCTAATTAAAAAGCACATTTAAAGAATTTGCAGACTTTACAGTTAGATTCATAGTTAGCTAATGCTAACATGCAGCACAGAGGCAATTTATTCCTTTTATTAGCATGGCAGGAAAAAAAAAAATTTGAATGTTTTTAATAAAACAGAAGTTAAGGTCTAAAAACTGAAGCAACATAAATTCTACAGATATTGGGATCATATCTTATTGGTCTGTTTTTACACAACTCCATTTTGTTTTGCACTCTTAAATATCATACACAAACACACATTGGTCCAAAACACCGTCTGCGTTGAGAATGCTGTGTTCTACATGTTCATATGACTCTGTGTATTTTTTTCAGACACCTAAACACAAGTCAAGTTCTCCAGCTTGGAGGTGTAAACGAGGACATTCCCTACATCTACCCTCAGCTTCAACACAAACACTTCACCGGCTGCATCCGCAACCTCATTGTGGACAGCAAGGTAACAACATACTGCCTGTTATCCACACACACACGCATACACACACACACGCACCCATATATGACCAAACAACCCACTTAGACATCAGCAGGAAAGCAAACCCAAACTCACACCTGCACTCCAGCTGATAAATGCATTAATAACACGTTTCAACATTCCCAGTGCCCTTGTGCCATGTTAGAGAGAGTTTTAAGCTTTTAACTGGAACCTCAAAGTCTTTTCAGACACTACACACACACACACTCTCCCACACACACATGCACACGTGCACGCATGCACACACACACACACACACCCGCACACACACACACACACACACACACACTCTTTCTGAAATGGAATATCAGCCTCTGCACTCCTGGCCAGGGCTCTCTTCAACCTTCTCCTGCTAGGTTGTTGTTATAAAAAGTTGGACTTTACGCTCAAAGCGTGACAGTCCAAACCCAGCCCTGCCTAAACCACAGTCGTTTCTGCAAGAGCAGATGGCGCTGGTATGAAATCGGCGTGTGAATTTGTAGACTTTGAAATTTGACTTTTTTTTTTCTCAGCATAGTGAACAGCATCCATGAGACGAAGATGTTATTTGCCCTTTTTGATGTAAAACAGTTAGCATAAAATTACAGGTGTTTTGACAAATTGCTGGGTATGAAAAAATGTGGCATAAGTGATACAGTGCTGTAAAAAATTGTTCTCTTGCAGGTTTCTTTTTTCTTTTTGCTTATTAAATGCTTTTACCTCACTGGAAATATTAGCAGACAACCATAACCAGAGATTCAGTGCGATTTGATCTTTTTTTGGTTTAGTTTTTTCTAATTGCATGCAGACCTGATAGCTGTCTCATCTATAGAATAATAAACACAAGAGTATAGAGGACCTGTCAGACACATGAAGTTGGCTAAGTATTCTTTATCTAAAGAAAAAGAAAATGTAGGAAGGAAGTCATTCCAAAGCCCATTGTAAAGGCTGTTGGACTCCAGAGAACCACAGTGAGAATCATCATCCATGAATGGAGAAAACATGGAACTGGTGGGAACCTACCAAGATTAGCTGGTGGAACCTTGAATTTTTGATTTAGCAGAAGTTACGAATGCACTGATTTCATTTTCCAGGCCAATCACCGATCACTGATCTTACTAAAGCTGATTAATATTTTGGCCGATACCAAATTTTGTTTTATAACTGAGACTGGAGGTTATAAAACAGCCAATTAATTATATACCTTCAATGGTCCAATATTATTTTACTGTAAAACTCTGAAAAATGCTCATGACACAATACAAGTTGTTTTAGCTGAGATAGGATTCTTAAATGTAATAATTAATAGCTTGTTTATAAATGATTACCAAACTAAACAAAATAATAGTTTCCTTTAGACTTTCATATTACACATTTTCAAAACAAATAGAACATACGCAGATCTATTTTGACCCTTTTTTCAAGAGTAAAGTACCCAGCAGAATTTTGCATTTATAAATCACAAAGTTTGAAGCCAGTTATGGACAAACTGACAAAAACAAAGTGCAAAATGAAAATATCTAAATTCAGTAGCTGTGTAGCTTTTCAAATAGAAATAGGTTCAGCTTCATATTTATGTATCATCCAAAATTTAGGAAATCAGGGGCCAATGAATCGGCCAGCTGATTAATCGATTAATTGGTGCAGCAGTTTCTAGAGGAACATGACTGACCATCAGTTCATGACCCTAAGCTGAAGCATAAATGGGTTACGCAGCGGGACAGCCATCAGGTTCATGTGTAATTGACTCAAGAACATTTCTTTTCTTTTTAGATTTGCTTTATGATTTGATTGTTTTGAAGTGGTATAGTTAAATCTGGTTGCAATGCTGCAGCATGACCTGAAACAAGCTTTAAATACAAATAATCGTACCAAAAAAAAAAAATTAATTCCTCAACAGTTAATATGAATGATATAGCAAGTACTTGAAGGGAATCATATCAGCTTACTCACAAAGACACTTTAATGAAATAAAATCTGTTTGGGGCAAACACTTTTCCATGGCTGTTTATGTTTGTTGTGAAGTACTGAAAGCTTGGCTCTTCTGGGATTAACCTTAGCCAGAGATAAAGCAACAGTATGTTCAAAACTGTGTGCTAATGAGAGAAATCTGCACGGTGTATGTGGGCGGACGCAAAGATAATAAACCTCCAAAGAGAGGGAAGAGTGGGCGTTTTGATGATTAATAACTTTGATGGACACGCTTCAGCATTGTATGCTTCAGGTTTTTCATGGTTTCTCCTTTGATGCCCTTTTACTTTACTTTTTCTTTTCTTTTTACTGAATGTGTTAACGTTTCACTTCCATTGCCATAGCAACATGGTCTGTTTCAAACAGGATGTAAGTGCCTGTGAAGAGATGAAGGTAGTTCACGCGGATATTAACATATACCTGTTCTTAACCCTCACAGCACCGTGTCAGCCCCATTAAACACTTTAAAAACAACAGCAGGAAGCAGTGAGGAGAGGTTACCGCTCTGAGGTAGAAGTCTGGGTGAAGGGGAAAAAAAAGATTTTTTTTTTTTTCCTGTCTTTCATAATTATGTTTCTATTCCAGAGCCTCGCCTCTTCCCTCTGGCTGTCATTCGCCATTGTCTGCTTTTAAATCTCTCTATCCTCATCCTGTCATTTCCCAGCTTGTCTGTCTCCTCTCAGCCCTCACATTTAGATTTCTGCACTAAGTCTTTCTCTGGTTTTGACACGTCTGTCACTCCATTTTTAGGTTGGAGCTTTCCACTTACAACAGTTGTGGTAATGGCTTTCTGAGTGTGAGCAGCTTTGCGTTGCTCTGCAGAAACATTTGACCTGCAGTAACAACATGCGGGGTCGTTTTTAAGAAGGGCGTTATCGGGGTGTTACTGATGCTTTACGTTACTCTGCACCGCAGAAGTATTGATTTTCCTCATTTTTGTCATGTTACAACCACAAACCTCAATGTACTTTGGTGGGATTTTGTGTAAAAGACCAATACAAAGTGGTTTTCATTGTTTTACAAATAAATATTTAGAAAGTCTGGATTAAGGCCAAAAAGTGTAACAAATGTCCCTAATATTTAAAACTTAAATTAGAACTCACTTCAGTTCAGTTTCTGTTCAGCTTATTTATGAAACACAAATTCACCCAAAATGTCTTGAGGAAATTTACAAAAAAACTGAATTGAATTCAATCACATGCATTCCATTGAATCCTAGATATTAGGATATTCCAGCAGTCTTGATTTCAATCTATGTCCCTAAAATACCAGAAACATCTGCGTTGCTGTGGTAGGCACGTTTCTGCTAAACTGCTAATAGTCCAACTAATTTTTAGCTTAGCATTTTAGCTAGTTTTAAAGACATTAAGTGCATTTAGCTTTCCCTCACTTATTTTTTTTCTAGACAATTTACTTGTCTGTTTTGTAAACTGTCAAATGAATGAAGTTTTACATCTTGAATGAAGTTTTAGTTTTTGACATCAGGTAGTCAGACGTTTACTTCCATGCTCGCTTTTTGCAGTTGGTAAAGATTGCTTACGAATCGGTTTAGTTTCCTGTCTTCTCTCTTTTTCACAAATTAACTTTTGATTTATTAAAAAAATATCCATGATGGATGAGATTAAGTGTTTCTTTAAATGGATTAAAATGGATTCTTTGCCACATGATTGGTGACACATCACTCACAGCACAACACACTATTCTGTAGGCTTTGAATTTTGGTTCTCATCGTATTTTTCTCTCTTTCTGAGCGCTGACATGTTTATACCCAGCACCTGACATTAATCTCACCAAATAGGGCCGCCTGCAGTCGTCTATCTGAGAGACTGACATTCCTCTCTGCTGAAGCCACGCTTCACAATTTGTGCACAGGCAGGTGAACTTTGGCACTTGAGTGTTTTGTTCAGATTCTTCCTCAGTCGTTATACCGATGCATGATCAAATTACATGCAGAGATGGAAATCTCTCTCGCTCTTGCTGTTTGGGAATATTTGGGCTTCAGCTCTTAGTCCTCAGCTGGATCCGCACAAACCCTGCTGTTTTTAAAAAGGAGGAACCAATAGGATGCTCCGCTTTGCTGGAGAACAGCGGTTCCCTTACAGCACCGTTCAGTCAGTTTATACTCGTTTGCATTCCTGCATCTTCTCTGCAGCACAAAGAGACTGCACAGAATACAGGATAGTCAAAGGACCGGTGTTTAAGTATTCAGAGCTCCCCCAGTGCTTGCAGCACTGTATGCAGCTGGTCATGCAGGTTTTCCATCAGAGGATCGGCTCTGCGTTCAGTTTCATCGCTGCAGGAGAAGATGGAAAGAGAGAGAGACAGGGAGACAAAGAATAAGAGTGTAAACAGAACAAGGGAGGAAGATGAGAGTGGAAATGAGGGAACCCTCAACGAATGTCCTTCGGCACTTTCTGATGTCCCTTCTTCAGTTTTTCCTTTCACTTTGCTTGACTTTTGTTGCTTTAAAGAACTTTGTCTCCCCCTGTAGCTGTGGAGCTGCTTGGATCTCTGCGTTTTGCTTCTCAATCAGCCGTTTCTCTGTTGTTGCCGACTGGTTTTGTCTCCTGTTTATAACCATGCTCAGTCACTGGAAACTTTTCCTTTTCCTATCATCACACTTGAACTTTTCTGCCTTTTTTTATTCCAACATCCTCTCTGACTTATATATTTTATTTATAATAAACTGTACACTTCCCTCCCCTTTTTTCTTCTCTACCCATTCCACTTTCTTCACCTTCTCCCATCTCTTCCTCTGTTCTTCCTGCACCTCTGTCCTGTCACCTCTATCTCCTGGGTTCAGCTGTATGATCTGGGCTCCCCGGCCGACTGGCAGTCCAGCTCCCCAGGCTGCCTCACCACTGATAGCAGCTGTGTCAACATGGGCTTTCCAGCCTGCGGCCATCGCGGCCGCTGTCATGGGGAGTGGGGCTCTTTCAGCTGCCAGTGTGTGGCTGGATACACGGGACAGCAGTGTGAAGAAGGTAAGCCAGATCTCTATCGGACTCATGAAGCCATACAGTGTTTCAACGGTAACTGAGCAGGTCTCAGGGCGGGTCACAGAGCCCAGAACACTACGACGCATCTGCCAAGAAGTCAAACTCCTTCAACTTTTTCACATTTTCTTCAGGTTACGACCAAAAACCTTTCTTTGTTGAGATATTATGGAAAAAGGTCAAATAAAAAAACTGTGTTATATCTTCATATTCATATGTCTAACTGAATTCTTTATTGAATCACCTTTCATGGCAGTACTTGATGTTGAGTGACACTTTATTGTTTTACACGTTGCTCAGATGCAGTCCGATTGGATGGACTGGATCTGGACTTTGACTAGGCCATTTTAACACATGTATGTAGTTTGATCTAAACATTCCCTGTTGATATATGGATGAAAGAGATGTTAAAAGGTCCGTAGTCCATGGGAGGATTTAATGAGGCCCTCAGACAAATTTTAAAGAATGGAACCAGTTTTGCACTTCAACACAGATGCAGATGGAATTTTTTTTTTTTTTTTTACAAATTAAAATATTTTTAAAATGGAAAACGTTAGGAACAAGCTAATGTATTACTTGCCACACTTCTTCCTCTGATTATAGCTTCATTATAAACAAGATTTCAAGCATCCATTGCTTTTTACTCAAAAGCAGATTTGGGTTGCACTCATTTATTAAAAAAGCCTGAATACATTTATGAGGGTAGTGACCCAGATCCCATCTTTGTTGCTGAAAAGACTGGAACTCTTTCCAGACCAAATATTAGAAAACAATTTACCTCAAAGGTGCAGGAAGTTGTTGGTCATTTTTCCATTAGGCAGATGTACCAGAGGTGCACAAAGGGTAAAGATTTGAACAAGTTAAGAACAGATGTTACTGAAAGACGAGTGTCTCATACATTACACTGTTTTGGTTTTTATCTTTGCAAATCTTCAAAAAGCATGTTTGATTTTTGCTCCACTCCACAGCTGTGCACGATTTAGCGATGTCTGTCTCATATAATGAGCAATGGGACACAATTAAAATGTTGAAATCAAGTTATGAGGAGGATCTGTAATTAATTGTTTTTGATAAACTAAAAACTGTATATGGTAGTGATAAAATAAGCAGCATTTTTATTTCAAAACCCCTTTTTTGCAGATAAATTATTGAATAAATTGACATGAACCCAACAACATTAGTGGTTTTTAAATTGTTAATCAGGGTTTCCAACCATCAGATTTGCACTCAGTGCTCTTCTATCAATTCAGCTTCCCAGTGTTTCAGACATGACTCTGAAACACTGTTATCGTTGGGAACGCCTGTGCTGCTGCTACGTGTTTAGCATTGAGATTCTACTCTATGCTTAAATAGCTTTGCTGATATTCTAACTCCTTTTAGCACAAATTGAACACACCAATAGTCTTTTCCGGCTTCCAATCAGATCGTTTTTTGAGGCAAATATTAACCTCAGTGGGTGGAATGAAGCAGCTCATTGTCCATCGCTGTGGTTTGCGAATGTAGTTTGAGTGTCATTGTGTGTCACAGGTGAAACAGAAACATGCGAATACAAAGGTTCTGTTTGGAACCTTTGTATATTAAAAAGAAAAAAAAGTAATTAATTGTGTTAAAAAATGTCAGTGTAATTAATTGCTTAAAATGAATGCATTGAAGTCCCAACCTTACATATAAAACCAGTTAGGAACACTTATGTTAATGTTTGACATGATAAAATGTGAAATGGGTCACGGCGTTGTACATTCAGCATACTTACCAGGGTTTAAAATACAAACTAGTCAGTTTTGCTGTTATTTATCTGAACTGTGAAGGAGAAACTAGGAACAGTCCTCTAACACCACTCACCCCTAATTGCCCATATCTGCCTGTGTTTCTGCCATTCTGACGTTAATTCTTCGCAGTGTCATTCCTTCTAGGTATCCTCTGAGCACATGTCATGTTTCCTGTTATGGGAACTGAACACACAGGTCAGCTGCTTCTTCCTTTAAGGATTCTTAATTACTGTTGTGTGTTGCTCGCGGAGCAGCATGCAGCCTCTTGGCAGCTCCCACATTAAGGCTCCTTCCTTCTGGCCCGGCGATGAGCTCTCCTTGTGAGGTTGTCTGCGCTGGCTGCATGGCTGCGGAGGCGTTCACTTCACTGCAGCTGTTGGGAGGAGACGGGATGTTTAATGATTCTGGTCCGGCTCTGCACACATCCCAGTTTGCTTTCTGCTGACCGCAGCACGCCGTGCCAGGATGCGCCGTCCTCCCCTCCACTGTCCTCTTGCCTCAGAGTGACACTAATTGACAGGATTTTCTCAAATGCCACAGAACTAGTAGAAGTGTGGCGCACACACTGTTGTCATATAAGTAACACTGGACATAGAGCTATTTTTTAAAATATATTTTCTGTTTTTAAACAGCAGCCGATAAGGGCTTTGTGCAACAATGTGAACGACTACTGCAGACGTCAAACATTCAACGATTCCATGAGAAAAAAGTTGAAGAGAAGAATGATAAATAGCAATCACTTTTGCTGTTTATAAATTGATTTGTCTTGTTTTTTTTGGTTTGTGTTTTTTACATTACGTAGCTCAGTTTTGGAAACCAGGGAGGCCAACTTTGGAAAAGAGAAAATGGTTGTTTACTCAGCTTTAATTTGAGAGGGCAGCACCAAAGGAAGCATTTGCTTTTGGCTCATCTGGTTCAGACACTTTCCACACAATTCAGAATCCAAAGTCTCTCTTCAGAGATTTGTCCCCATTCCTTGTTTGCTCGGTTTTCATAATCACCATCAGAAATCTTCTTTTCTTAATTGCCACCCTTCCCAATTAGCCAGAAATTATCACGCAAAAGACGATAGCATTAATTACTTCGAATTTACAAATCTCATACAGTTTCACCTTTGGTCCCTTTTGGTGGGGAGTCGGAGTTCTAGTATATTTGCGTCTTATGGTAGGGTGGATATTGGAGCCCCATCGGTATGTGTGTGTGGGTGCGCGGGTGTGCGTGTGTGTGTGTGGGCGTGGGTGCGCGTGTGTGTTACTCTGGTGAAGAAAGAAGTTGGTCAAAAGCCAAATCTATAAATTTACTGGTTTATTTATGGTTTGGTAGTCACCGAAGTTTGACGCAACATGGGTTATGTTCTAGGGACAGTACTCTGGATTCAGTTAGTATGATCTTTCCTCTTTTGACTAGTTTATAGTCGAGCTGCTGTTTCTCGACTACAGGAGTCAGTGTAGGTGAGTCGGTCATCTGAGGTAGGACAAGGGCAGAATTTGCTGGAGTGATTATATATTCACTGGAAATGCCTTTCTATTCAGCTTAATCCAAATGAATAATACCTTATTAATCCCTGAGTTGTCATAACTCGTGTCATCCAAATATCTTCAGAGTTGTAGACATGATGAGAGATGTTAGAGTACGGGATAAGATTGATGGAAGATGGCTTGAATTTCTTCCTTCTCTCTCTGCTCTTTGTTGATTCGCTGCAGCTATGAAGCCTCATTTTCTGAAAATTGGGGGTCATAGTTCAGGTATTATTTGATCATTCTGAGATCCTAACCACCTGCTTCCAGTTGTGCTTCCAGTTGTTAGAACAACACATTGTTTCTGCTGTTTCACATCATAACAACTATCTCTTCAGCTGCACAACATCCAAAACCAGAAAGAATATCCTTCCAAATATACAAAACCTCAAACAAAAACATTCCTGAGCCAACTGAACAAATCAGAACTAATTTTGGATTCCCTAGAACAAGCTGGAGAGTGTTACTAGTGAGAGGAACATCTGGTTTTTACTTCCTAACCCAGTGACCCGATCTTGCATAAGTGGAAGGCGATTGATGAAAGTCTACAATATAGTTGGTGAGAATCAGGACAGAGTTTTGGTCTGTAGATGACAGCTCATGCTGCAAATTCAGTGCTGAACGAGAAATGGCTTGATTTGGCTTTGGCTTAAAGCACTCATCTCTTTCAAACTTAGATACCTGGAATACAGAGTGAAGGTCAGGATCTGCAACTGCAAATAGCTGAAATCCTCAAAATCCTCTTTTCACTGCTTGTTTTAATAGTTCGAACACCAATTATGCCTCAATATGCATTAATACGCAAAGTGAAAACTGTCTTAGCGTTACCACAAAAGCTAACATCCACCTTCTTCCTTTTTTCAGTTCTTGGAGATTCAGTCAATGCTGGACCAAGTTACATTGCTTTGTGGTATTTCAAAAGTGCATTTTCCTTTGAATGTTTTTCATACCCTCTGTGCAGCTGCATTTCTCTGAAAACTCCAGTGTTAATATGATGACATTCAAGTGATGCATTTTCTCAACAAATTTGAGAACATTTCAGAGTTAGTTGGATTGATTCTGCCTAACATTTGTTCTACATTTGAAAAGAAGAGATTACATTGACTTGCATAGATAATAGAGAACATCCGTAATTGTTCAGTGTCTAATTTGTCTGTATCTGTATTCTAGTGGCCCCAGAGTATTCCTTCGACGGCCACAGTCATCTGCATTACCAGCTGGCGTCCGCGCTCCCTGCCAGAAGAACGTGGATCCAAGTCCTGGTTCGAACCCGGAAACACAGCAGCATCATCGTCAGCCTGGTGTCCAGGGACCAGAGTGAATACCTGCGACTGGAGGTGAGCTGGCTGTGTCGGCACACAGACGACATCATGATCACATCGTAACCACTGGTACATTGCCACGTGTTTAGAGTTTGTGATGAGCAGCTTCAAAAGCTTGTTTTTGGTCTATTCATCCTTTAGGACTGATGTGACAAAGTTCAGTGTCGCTTTTTATACTGTCCATCACTCATGATGGTCCTGATTAAAAGCCTGTTGAATGGTTCAGTTCATTTCAGGGTCGCAAATCCTTCAGCTGTGATCTGGTTATGTAACATGGAGTCTAGTGTGTTGTGGACGTAGGTCACCAAAATATACCAACCAGAAGGTGCCATCTGTGTCCATGACGAGTTCCTGATATGTGTTTGCCAGACGTGCTCCTTCATTATGTGTCTGTTGAGTATAATAGCTCTATCCATGTCAGCACCTCATTTTGGAAAATTGTCAAAGAATTGCGCTTATGAAGTATTTATTTATCAACTAACACTTTTGGAGACGGTTAATTAATAAGGTGGTCAGACAATAACTCATCTACTGGATGGATGGACGAACGGACGGATGGATCACATTAACACTTCAGATGACTGTAGATGACTGTAAAACATGTTTAGTGGCTTCTCCTTCAACTGTTATCTAATTATGTCAAGATCTGGGTGTTTTTAAACCGACAGGCATCAAGAAAGTCACTAACTTTACAGTTTTCATTTGTTTAATAATAATATTAAACAAATTGCATTATAATAATAATAATAATAATAATAATAATAATAATAATAATAATAATAATAATAATAATAGAAAAAATGCTCAAATCATTCATGATTCAAAAGTTTTGACTTACCCCTAGCATGTTGAGACAACACTAAGACTTTGTGAAAATCAAACAGCATATGATCAGAAGCACTTGCATCAGTCCTGAGGCACGGTGGTGGAGGCTGATGGTTTGGGCTTCCTCTGGTTGTCAGATGACAAACCTCTAATGTGGAGTCAATCTTATAGCTGGCAGAAGCTTGGTGGATCTTTTGGTTTAAAACAATAACGTGTTTTTGGAAATATTTGGAACTAGGTAGCAATAAAAATTTAGAATCAATAATTACTGTACATTTTCATCAATATTATCGCAGTTCAGCTGAAATGTGTAACTGTGGAAAATGATTACAGGCCAAAGATAATTTAGTAAGAGTCCAGCTAGCAGCACGTGTTTATCACCATACTTACTATTGCTATTGGTGGGAGATGCACAGATAAATCAGGCGGCTGATGAACTGGTGCCGATTTCCTTCATTTTGTAAAATCAGACGATACTTTGGCTTGTCTGACTGACAGCCCCGCCCACCAGGTCATGCCTGGTTAACAATATTCACCCCACTGTGGTCAACATTGGCACTTGTCTCTAATTATCAACTTCAAAATCAAAATTGATAGGTCAGGCTTTTGAAATTGGAAAACTGCAATTGGTGCACCCCTAGTTGTTCTTGCTGTTATTATTATTATTATCATTATTATTATTATTATTATCATTATTATTGTTATCTGTAGTAGTAGTAGTATTAGTATTAGTAGTACGAATGCCACTACAAATATGCTCACTTTTGGTAGACAAAGTCACAAAGAGTAAATGCTCTGAAATCCCCTTCCAGCAGTAACAGTTTGTTTAAAACAATGTCAGGTCTGAATACAGTAAAACACTTTTGTTTTTTTTATTTTGTCTCCAGGGCTTCATTACACCCACTGAATGTTCTGTTCACATTTTAAATGTTTCTTCATTTTTGTTCATTTGCCAGTTTGCCTGCTTTGTCTCGACTTGACTTATTGTCTTGGACGGCGCGGCGCCTCTCCGGTGCTTCCCGGACGCTCGCTCCTGTTTGTCACCCCGCTCCGTGCCCGCGCGTATTGATCAAACTTCAGTGTCTAACTGATGATGATTACAGGATCCATATCACAGCCGCCATTAGAGTGCAACCTCTCCTACGATCCCCGTCTGTCATCCATCTGTCTCTTCCTTCGATTCATCCGTTTCTGCACTTCCTCTTAAATGTCACAGCGCTCCCTCAGCACCTCCACATGGGGAGCAGGTTCACATCATTTATCCACTACATAAAGTGCATTTATTCCTGGGTGCAGACAGCACAGGGATATGTGAATCTTATGAAAAAGCTCCCTGCAGTGACATGCGGGATATTCTGCCTTGGTCTCTGCTTGGAGTATGAGCGTATTGCCACCAGGGTTATGTTATTCTCACTAACAGCTCTGTTTGCTTTTAATCAGAAGGAGGAATTAGTGTGAGTTACTCCTGGCTGGATATACTTTCAGGAAATTAGGGGACTGATTGTGTTTGGCTTAATGAGGGAACAAAGCATTTAACTGTAGAAAATCTTTAAATCTGTGCAGATATACTGTACAGATTCACTCTAAAATATACAAATAACATAAACTGTAACTGTGCACTTCATGAATTGCTGATGTTATCTCACATTAGAGATGTATATAGTACAGCACAATGAAAACATACTTGTTCCCCTACAGATTTCTTTTGCTTTTCTGCCACACTTGAAATATTTTTAGCTCCTTAAGCAAATGTTACTGTCAGATTAAAATGAACTTAGTGAAAACAAAATTAAGTTTTATAAATATATATAAGTACCTCGTTTTGGATGAATTACCTCCAGGTAATTCTCACCATGTTCCAGCTCACAGTAAAAACTATTTATCAAGACATGCCTTCAGGTTGTAAAATCTTTTTTTTAAATCCTGGTTTAAAAACTAAACTGTGGATTGCCTCAGGTTATAACTGCCAGCACACCTATTAAAGTCACTGCATAGTTAATAAATTGATTGACATCTCCTTTGAGAAAAAGTTGACAGCATCATATTTTGTTATGACCAGGCGATGCCATTTTATGTTTCCTCAAAGTCACTGGGACGGTGCATAACCCGACATTCAGTGATTAGGATACGGCATTAAAACGCTGCTCTTTGATTCCGCTGCTTTGCAAAAGGTCACACTGCTGAGCTCATTTATTTTTACAAGGCTTTCAGCATGAAAGAATGAAATACTTGACCAAACTTGTCCATGCTCCTCACTGGAGGTCAGCTGAACTTTTGTTAGAGTAATAAAAACAAGACACTACACCTGCTTGTCTGGATTTTTATCAGATGTTGTTTTGGACAAATTATTTGCTTTAGTTAGTTGCTTTATGGTCATCTATGGTCATTACATGTAATCTAAAAAAACACTATTATCAAAAGGTATTCTGTAAAGCATCAAACTAAAGCTCCTTGAGGGGAAAATTACAAAAAAAATTACACTCAGCTGTTAAGAATTCACATCAGGGCTTTTACCAAAAACCATGTTGAATTTTATTTATTCACTCAGGCAGCCTGTCAGATTTCTGGATCTCATTTTGAATCACTATTATCCTATTGGGTCGGGTTGGACAGGTTGGTAGGATTGGCTGGTTGTGCCGGATGGGTTTGTGGGTTTGCTGGGTCGATTGTTTCAGCTGTGCAAATTGTTAGCAAACAATCTTGTGTTTTCAAGATTTTTTTTAAATGTTTGCATATTTGCATGGTTAAAGGAAAATCAGGTTCATCATGAAGTGGTCATCTTCTGTATGGGTGAAGAGCTGCAACTTCAGCCACCAGCCTCGGCGTCATGTCTGAAGTTTGTTCATTCATTCATCATTCATTCATTCATTCACCAAAATGTCAGTTTCTTTCCATTTTCATGTCAGTCAAGACTAAAATGTCTTTCCAAAAACACTTTGCATGCATTCAGAATTGATATAATGGAAGTACAAGTATTGGAAATGACAGTATGCTTCATATATCTGTATGATCTTTATACAAACCAGGTTCATTATCTAAATTGCTTCCATAGGAAACAAAGAAATAAATTGAAGTTTGGGCAATGTACAATGGCATAAATCCTAAGAATCGATGCTCATCAAAAAAGAACCTCTTAAATAACCATTAAAAGTAATTCTAACCATTAGAATTACCAATTACACGACGAGCACGTGTTTAGATTAAAATGTTTTGTTCAAAAGACGCTGCAGAGCTTAAGAAGCATCTGAAGGATTAAAAGTTTCCCTTCTCTGCAGTGCTGACTGCAAAACAGAGTGGCGCACACAAAGCGGAAACTGCTTCTGCAAACTCCAGTCACACCATCATACATGCCACCCAGGGAGCAGAGCTGGAGTCAAATCACACCACTCTGTTCTGCTTTAATTGGGGTTTAATCAGGTGGCTGGGAGCATGTCTGGATAAAAAAGCACTGCCCTGGTGGATTGTGAACATAATTATTACCTTATAATGGAGCCCTGGAATGAGCCTCCATCCCAAAGCCAAACAGCCTTGGAGGTGTTCAACATCTTACCCAACTTCTTGTTAAAAGTAGGGAGTCGTTAACACATGAATTAAGACAGGAATAGGTGAGAGAAATGGATTTTTTTTAAAAAAGCAAAGACATTTGTAGTCGTGTATGTAAAGTTAAGAGTAAAGATCTGGATTTTTGACCAGTGTCCTCCTCCAGAAACCTGCCTTATGTTTATTATGGTGAGGAGAAGTGAGGAAGTTACTGGTGTTCGCCCACGTCTCCGTCACATCTCTCCTGCTTTGTCTCAGTTTGCCTGCCCTTCTCATCTCAGCTCTCTGTTTACGCACTAGCAGTGGCAGACAAAGATGGAGGGGAGGAAATTATGCTCAGTGGGACACTTGGAGGATCAGTTTGAAATTGAAATGAGGACGACCCACCCACCACTGTGTCTTTCTTAAAACAGCCTTCGGACATATTCAATCTCTATCCCCCCCACCCTTCCTGCATTCCCAGCCCTCTGTGCTGCACGATGACAGAGAGGCGTTGGAATTGAAATAAAAACAGATGTATTTCAGGTCCTCCGTGCAGTTTGTTGTAGTAAATGCATTAATTCCTTTCTATTGATTGATCTTAGAAACGTTCCTCCTGAATGTTTTCGACTTTCCTTAAAAAGACAATAGACATTTACCCTGGACTGTGAATCTATATTGCATATCCTTATGGTATTAAAAGGAGCAGCTCTAAGTTATCTCATTGTTCTAATCAGCCAGACCAACTGGAATCTTTCTACCTTTAAAATATTTAAATCTGAAGCTTAATCTTCAGTCACTTCAGCATTTTCACCATAATTACTTCGAGTTGCCTTTTGATTTGGGATTTATTTCAAGTTAACAGTTTCAGAACCTTCACTTGTGGATCTCCCTAAAGCGAATGAGTTTCATTTAATTTGTCCACTTGGAAAAATGAATAATTCCTTCTGAAGTTGGATTTTTTAAAATTAAATTAATAAATGCCATTTTTTATATATAGATGAAACTTTGTCACAAGTTTGGCTCTGGGTTCATTTCAAATGTAATGGAGACAGAAATGGAAAAGAAAGAGGGAAATGTTTAAAGAGAAATGAAGAGCAGAGCAGAGGAGTCAGCAGTGTTGCTTCTAAACCTGCAGACAGAGAAAAAAAAACAAAGCAGAGAAACCACAACAACACAACATAAGCATTTTAACACCATTTTAAAATCATTGGACTCCAATAAGACAAACAGATTCCAATTTGATTCTACTTGTCAAACATTGCAGTTAAGTCCAATTTACTGGTTTTCATTTATCCTGGAAGTCAACACTCCAGGTGTGTTTTTGATGAGGGGATGACATCATCACCTGATGGAAAGCTTTTGATCCTGTGCTGGTTGGAAGGAGAAGAAATAAATCGGGGCTATCAGTACTAATGTTTTCTGCCTTTTCAATCATGTGTCCATGTTTCCTATTCTGTCCATGAATATTTTAACATATTTATGTGAATGTTAAATCAGATTCAGTTTTTCCCATTTTTGGTCAGTTATTATATATTTATATATAATAACTGAGGAGGAAAGTTGGAGTTATTGGAAAGTTGGTCAGTTATTATATATTTATATATAATAACTGACCAATATATATTATTATTTAAATGCCCAAATAATGAGTCCAAATTTTTATTTATTTATTTAATTATTTTTTGGCCTGAACATTTTCAGTCTCTTCAAATTCTGAAACAGGTTACTTCAGTTTTTCCACAGAAAGTTCTTCCCTCATGATGTCATGTATTTTGTGAAGAGTACCAGAACACCCACACATGATGCTGCCACCATGTTAGCTAGACTGCTGTCCTGAAGTTTGTAAGCTTTTCTTTATGGTATTTATGACTAAACACTTCAGTTTTACTTTAAATAGACCCAACTGAAAGAGAGCCAGTTTTAAGCTTGCAGCTTCAATGTGAAATCAGTGTAATATTTACCTGTTGTGAGACTGGACTGTCACAAAAGCAGATTAATCGCCTGAGCTGAGGGAAACTATTTTAAAAAGAAATTTTTTTGTTTTGTCTCCATCAGCCCCGCGAGTTTGTTTGTGACAGTGAATGCCTTGGAGGGGGCTTTTCTGTGTAAACTGCTGACAGACTGTACTTGCTTGTCATTCTACAGGGACACTGGGTCCCAGTAGGAGGCGCAGATTCTTCCCTCCAAACATCGTATGCATGACAGAACCTCGTAGTCTCCAACTTTCCTCCTCAGAATGACTCCAGGCTGATTATAAGACTAATATGTGCTGAGGCTGCTTCAACACAGACAAGTATAAGTAGCTAGTTTTATGTAGCCTTTTCACAGATGAACCTGTGATGCATAGCATGATGAGTCCTATGTGAACAGGAGTAATGTAAAATAGAAGCTCATTAAGGTGAACTTCAAGCCCTTACAACCTTGTTCCCTTAAAGCTGGAAAGAAATCACAGTAACTGATATTTAATGAGTTCTAAACAATCAGTATCATTGGGAAAAAGATTTCTGAATGATTCAATATTTCAGACATGAATACTTTATCACCACTATGGGAAGATGTTAAAGTAGTGGTGGGACTTCATTAAAATTTCCGATCAAGTTATTTGACAAAATAACTAAATTAGAAATTAGCATCGGAAATTAAATTCGAAATGAACATTTTAATCAAAAACTGCATATAAACAAAATAAATAATATTCTCAATTTAAAACACTTTCGCTGCTAGATTTTTGAATAAATAGACATCAGAATTCAACAACTAAGGTATTTATAGTTTTTCATCTGTTATTCAACCATTGAATAGCTTTGCTAATCGGCTAACTCCTTTAACACTGGAGTTAGCTTGAACACAATACTAGTCAGTCAGATCAGTTTTGACCCTCAAAGGTGCAAGGGAAGCAGCTTTTTTTCCCATTGTTATCAGATGCTACTTATGCATTCAGATTTAGAAATATAGCAGGAACACGCAAATACAAAGTTTTGCTCTAAACTTCAGTATGTAAAAAATAAATAAATAAATAAATAATTGCTTTACAATCTGTTATTAATCAAGACTTATGTGGCAAAGTCACAATCGTAATTCAAAAATAATTTCATACTTTGATTCTATTATGAACCCCTGGTGTTTTTCATGGTCTTGGATGTCTGCTACTATATTAAAATATAAACAAAAAAGAGATTTGGGGAATTTACTGCAGACATGACAACCATTGTATATAATACGTAGCTACTGAAACTGATCATGGATGGATTGATTCATGGATGGATGGATGTTCTCTACAGTCCATGTGATTCTGGGTGAGCCTCAGAGAAAGTCTCATACAGTATAAATGTGTGGAATGTGGGACGTGATGAAAGCAGAGATTTACTCAACGACCACACTAATCTGATTCACTTCTCTTTGTTTCAACATTAAAAACAACATATTGTTTTTGTGCTCAAATAAACTTCAGGTTCTTTCAGAATCATCAGTGGGAGAGAAGTAATTCCAGCATAAATCTGGCGGCTTTTCAAAGCGCCTTTCTGGTTGATAAAAATTGGACAACTGAGGCATCATGGATGACTTTTGTTTCCTTTTCTTCGATAGATGTCATGTCATAAATTCATACCGCAGAGAGTTACTGGATACATGACTCAACTGCGTGATGATGCTGTCAGCATCGCCGCAGGGCAGAAAATGCTGTTTTTGTTCTTGTTCTCATTTAATGAAAGATTGTAACCATGCTGTGAAAAACTATTGAGACCCTTGGCATGGGTTTTGCTGTGGAAAGCTCCCATGAGTTCCATCTCAGTCTGTCCAGGACTCTTCCTAGTTGTTTAATCGTAATTGCTGACCTTGACTCTTCCACAAAACGTCTGGACATTTTATGTATAATGCAAAGTAAGTTGAAATAATTGAGAAGTAAGTTTAAAAAAAGTAAATTTAAGAAATATATTTGACTTAAAACCACTCTATGTAAGTTGTATTAAATATATGTTTAGCATATTGGTTTTTGTCAGGAGGCGGGTCTTAATGCTGCCAATCAACCACATGAGTATGCTGTTAAAAGTACCTATGGCAGAGAAACAAGTGAAATCTTTAAAAAACAGAAAATATAATTTTTCCTTGTGCTGTAGTAGGTCTCTAGTGACTGTGATTTTCTGAAAGAATCCAAACTAAGTTTAGTTTTGCAGACTAGAGCTGCAGGCTTCTTTCTCTAGTGCTGTAGACATGATCGTCCTTATGCAACAAGGTTTCTCTTACTCCAAATAATCAGTGTGATGATTGGTAATGTAATCATTTCCTGAATGAGCCATAGAATCTATTTCCTTGCTTTGTTTGTGTTGTTGTTCTATTAAAGCAAGGGTATTAATTTTCTGCTCCTGGAACATCTTTAATAACGTCTGAATAATTCATGTTGTTTGTGAGGCTCAGCATTTTACTGCTGTTTCATATACAAACTGTTTTATAAACTACAGGTATCTCTTTTGTTTCCTTCTGCAGGTATTTCAGGGCCTTCTTTGCACTTTCTACAACCTCGGCGACGGAGACTACAACCTGACCCTACCCAGCTATCGCCTTGACAACGGCGAGTGGCACGAGGTCTCCTTGGACAGACACGACAACGAGATGACGCTGCGGCTGGATGGCGGCGGAGGGAAGCGGGAGGTGATGGGATCACAGAGCAGAAGCCGAGAAATCATCATCGACCCGACCGCCGTGATGCTGGGGAACTCCTTCCCCTCGGAAAGCAACAAGAGCTTTCAAGGTGGGTAACAACGCCGCACAACTAGTTGTGTATTCTTTAAGTCTTAAGATCAAAGGTTCAGATGCATTGACTTCTTTACAAACTCTGAAACGTCTCTGTGTCGGTTCCCTTTCTGGGGAATTGTTGAGTCTGACTATCACTTCAATAAAAATGTTCCATCCATTCACACAACAACCATGTTTGTACTTAACATTTCTCAGAATTATCACTTTTGAAAAGGTTGATGAGAATGACAAAATGTGAAAAAACTTCCTCTGTTTTGCAAAACAAAAGTTTTCATGCACACCAGAGATGTTTTTTGTTTTTTCTGAAAAAGCATTATTGCGCTTTAAAGAGTTTGGAAATAATTTCAGGTGCAGCATCTTTTTAAAACGAGAAAACCTTCTCGCTACGAGATTTAATAACAAGCTGGAGATAGACTTATATCTCATTAAGATCAAAATATCATCTCTTTTAAATAAGAAATAGTAGAACAGCAACACCTTTTGGGATTTTTTGATATGGTCCAGAATAACCAGGAGAAGGAGAGTCACATTGCGCCCCCTTTTTAACAAGTCGTAATCAGTCAGAGGAACGTAAAGTTGTATCCCGTTAAAACAAGAAACTTTTAAACTTTATAATGAGATATCAAACTCATCTTACTTCAATGACAAGGTTTTTTATTAAAATGTAATATAAAACAGGTCTTATTTATTCTAATGAAAAATGTTCTTGTTTTAACGCGGTTTGCTTCTCATTATAACAAGATTTTCTTGTTTTAACAAGAAATTTTCAGGTTATAACGAGATGCTGCTCCTGGATTTATTTCCAAGCTCTGGCAGTGAAACGCCTCCATAAGATAGACGCACATCATCCAAATAAGTTCTGTGGTAACAAATATTTATAACTGATTAGTTGTGCCTTTCCTGTCTTTTACGCGAGCAGCAGGTGACATCACCGATGCTAGCTGACAGGACAGAACAATTACAACGTATCTGATAGCAGTGTTACCGTCTGATGAAATTAATTTGCATTTTCTTTTTTGCGACTTTTTGAACCTTCGCAAGGTAATTGGATTGTCTGTTACCTCTGATTTAGACTGTTTCAAGTCTACAGTCATGTTTACTGTGTGCGTCAAAACACCCTTTTAACTTGTTCACGTCTTTTCACATTGCAGCCTAAACCCCTCAGTGTATTTTGTTAGAATATCGTGTGATGAACCAACATCATCATGAATATCGTGAAGTGAAAGGAAAGTCACACGTGCCGTTCCTTTTTTTTCTCATCTTCATCAAGTCTGAAAGGTGCAGCGTGCAATTGGTATTCACTCCCCTCCTCCCGAGTTGCACATATGCTCAACTATGCAAAATACCTCAGGCGTAGTCGAGCTGAGGGTTTTTTTAGCGCCGGGAAACAAATTTGCCTTTCACACTGATAACACACGACCGTGGTTTGACACATGAAGAGCACCTGACCAATACATTTGCAGGTGATACCACCGAGTGGAAGTCAGCTTGGAATGATGGCTCAGCGTACAGAAAGGAAGAATGTTTGTTTGTTTGTTTTTTTCTCTGATCTTTCTATTTCATGAGTTTTCGTAGTAATGAAGGGACATGAAAAAGCTTTACAGATATTTCTGTTTTGTGTTGTTTTTTAAATGTAAATCTTTCACAATATGAAACTAATATTTAATAGGAGACTAAGACCAGTACTTTACATGTTGTTCTGAATTCTTGTGTTACCTCAGGAACAAGACATAGATCTGCATTTGGATTCATTTTTATCTTTTTCTGGTGACTTTTGAGCCTACTTCGGTTTCTGTTTCAATTATTTCTTGATTCCACAGGTCAGGCATTAATCAGAAAATTGAACAAGGACATTGTGGGTAATTATACTTAATTGATGATTAAATGTGGGGGAAAATTTGATCACAGCGCCAGGTTGGTTTGGTTGGTATTTTCCACCTTAAAGGAAATTGTAACTTCAAAACTGCATTTTGTTTTTACACCAGTTGACTTTGTCTGATATGAAATTTGATACTGAAACATTTGAGTGAAAAACAGAAAACAGAAGCACTCTTTAAGGGGGCAAATATGTTTTTAACTTATCTTATAGAGCCTCATCTCATTTTGATGTGTTAACAATGTGAATCAGAATCAGCTCCATGACAAAGTTCTGAGTCTTTGATATTTCATATTTCATCTCCTCTATTGGATGGGATGTTTTTGTCATTCAGCTCAGTGCAGAACAATTGATTGAAAACTCAACAGAAGTTCAGATCTGTCCTTCTGATTCTTGTTATGAATCCAGTTCTGCTCGTCTGTGAAACACAGTAATGAGTTTGGACTTTATTTATCTGCCTATTCATCCCGTCTTATGAGGTCTACCGCTCAATTATAACTGGTTTGAACTGCTGTCACCGCTGTCACTTCAAAGCATGGAAAAAGTAAACCTTTATCTTAAACACTGTAAATAAATGAGTCAAAAGGAAAAAGGTTGGGAACTTCTCTTTCATGGCACGAATAACAGACGTAGCAAAGCATCTCAGGTGACAGCCAACACTTAAACAGAAATCGAGAAATGCAGCCGTATTCCAAATAAATTTGGCAGGCCATCTTTCCTACATGCACCACTTGAAGTTTGAAATGGAGTAAAGCTTTAAATATGATGTGACATGTTTGATGTGTCACAGTAAAAGTTAAAAGCGTTGTTTTGCCGTTGAGCGCGTATGAGAAGGTTTTTTTTATCCAACATGCGCCACTGAAAATAGATTCTTTTATCTATTCATATGCAGCCTCATCAGGGTGGGATTGTGACATTTCTGACTGTTAATGAATGATTGATATGACACTTTAATGGCTAATTCACTCAAACGCTCTGGATGGCGTTTTTCCCGAGAGCTGGCTGCACGCTCCACAACAACGCTCAGATTAGTGACCAGCTGAAGGCAGTACACTGCTCCACAAGCACATTTATACTCACTGACCTTGAATTAAAAAACTGTTTCAGGTACTTTAAAAATTAGTTTTACAGATTAAAAACAATGAAAAAAGTTAGTAAGACAGTGTTGTCATCCACATTGAAACCTGTCTTGTGAGGGCGTGGACTGAAAGGCCAATCAGCATTGAAGAAGCTATTGCGTTAAAGAAACATTAAAAAGCCAGATTTCAAATTCACACAGGGATAAAGACCTTCTGGACTTGGTATTTAAGGTTTTCAGCCAGAAAGTTACGGTTCAGAGACAAACTTGCCTTCCAAATATAAAATGACCCTCAGCGTACAGCTACAATGGTTACAAAGTGGCTTAAGGTCAACAAAGTCATTGTTTGGCCTGGACATCCAATAGAGAATCTGTGGGGAGGTTAAAGGTCTTCCTGACTCAGCCCCATCAGTTCTGTCTCGATCAATGAGCCAGAACTTCAGCACACTATCATGAGAAACTTGTGGAAGGAAAACCCAAAACTGCTGCAAAGGGACACACCATATTGGATTTGTGGTTAATATCCAATATGCTGATATACTAAAACTCATTTGGCCAATAACTGATACCAATACCAATATTTTTTTTTCCTATACCTACTTACTGAAACTATATTGCTTCTGTATTATGGAATTAAAGTACTTTGTCAACTTAGTCTTCTACCAAATGCAAGTGATGATAAAAAAAGATGCTGAAAATTATTTAACACTTTCAACTTACTTTAATTAATGACATTTGCTCTCTAAGACAGGGATGTCAAGCTCCAGTCCTCGAGGGCCACTGTCCTGCAGTTTTTCGATGTGCCACAGGTACAAAACACTGGAATAAAAAGGCTTAATTACCTCCTCCTTGTGTAGATCAGTTCTCCAAAGCCTTGCTAAGGACCTAATTATTCTATTCAGGTGGTGCAGCAGAGGCTCATCTGAAAGTTGCAGGACACCGGCCCTAGAGGACTGGATGTTGACACCCCTGTTCTAAGACAACAAACAGAGCAAATTTGATGTAGTGCTGTGCTGCAGGCATCAATGTCACTGGTTTGTCAAATAAAAACAACATCTTTCATATTGGTGAGTTATTTTGATAGAATGGTCGATGTCCGATTTAAATTTTACAGCTAATATTGGCCGATACTGATACCATGCCAATAATCCCTACCACTGACCCAAGACATACAGTGAAAGGCAATGCTACCAAATACTGAGGAAATGTAAGTGAACCTCTGATTTTGAAGACATTAATATAGAAATCTGACATTATTTCTCTCATTATTGTGGCATTTAGCAAAGAGAAATAATTTTGCTGATTCTAACTGATCTAAAAAAGGAGAAGTTTGGTCTGATGTGACTTCAAACAGTGGGGAGGGAAATGTGTGTCTTTTTCTTCACAGTATGTAAACTTGTGGTTTCAATGGCGGAGAATGATTCTTCGTGCTCATTAATTATTCTTATTTCTGTGCATCCTCTGCAAGTCTCCTCATCTCTTTACAGATGTGAAAGTAGTTCAGATTTATATCTGTTTTTTTTATTTTAATAAAATATCAGGACTTCTTTTCTTATTGCATCATTCTAGCAGAGGTTTGGTGGCTCCTGTCATCGCCTATCACACAGCTGCAGTGCAGCTTTGACATCCATTCCCGGGTGACTTGACAAATATTTGTACATTAAATCAGGTTGTGCAAAATGTCTTGAACAGACATGTGGAGACTTAAACAGTTTAACAACACAAAAAGTCATCTACATATGCCAGGTTGTTACTGTAAATAAGAACTTGTTCTTAACCCTCTTGGTAAAATCAAGCTTAAATAAAAAGCGTACAGTGTGAATGCGAGAAGATATTTAAAAACCTATAAAACACACACTAAAGGCAAGATAAGAAGTTGCCTGCTCTTTCAGCACTTATGAGTCTAAGGAAACTTTTTTTTTACTGTTTGATAATTGATAAAGAAAAAAGGTCCGAAATAAAAGATGCAGGCACAGAGTGAAAGAGAGCCTGAGAGCTCCCCGGAGTTAGACAGTAAGACATTTAGACGGCTGCGCCTCAGGCAATAAAAGACAATGCATGAGTTTATTAAATGACTTTTTAAAGCATTTCTTTTCAACAGAGGCAAGACTGATAGATTATGGCAGGGAAAGAGGGACTGAATATGTGCACATTTGTTTGGATTTATTTTTGTTAATATCTTTCTCTAAAATGTTGTAGCTAGAGAAAGAAATGTTTAAGAAATACAATAAGTTGGCAGTTAGGAAATTAAAAACAGAAATACTGGAAATATGTCCTCAGACACACTGATTTATTCCTAATAATGTGCCATGGAGCTTCTGTGCAATAAACAAAACACATGCTGATTGATTTAGAATAGAAAATACTGTTCTCATTATGCACATTAAACAAATACAAGCCTGGGGTTGTTTCAGACTGTGCTGGCCTAATTTCATCGGTGTAACATGTTTACCACACAACTGGACAGCGTGGAGCACAAGTTCAAACTGAAAATCACATTTTAAGTACATTTCAAAAAAATTGATAAAGTTCAGTATTTTTTGTCACTTATTTAAGAAATGAAACTCTTGTATTTTATATATTACAGAGAGAGTGAAATATTTAAAATGTTTATTTCTTGTTTTGATGGTTATAACTTTAAATCCCGTAAGAAGACGATAAGAAAATCTGTTTTCATCTCTACTTCCTGCTTGCAGATCTGACATTTATAATGCTTATTTTTGCGAGCATGCTTATGATTGAGAGTTCAGTAGCTGTGTTTCTCTATGTGCATTTTGAAGTTTTACATTTGAAGAGTTTGATGGAATTGGCAAAATTTGAAAAGCTGTCTTCAGTTTCGCAAAAATTATTTTCCACGCACTTAACACAATTCTTGGTTTCTCCTAAAAAGAGTTAATGGAGAGTTGGAAACAGGCTTACTGAATACGTTCTGATGTAGAGAGCTTTCCCATTCCAAGCCTCCTGCAGAGAGGGGAGGACTGTCAGCCTGCAGCGGCCAGAGAGAGGCGCTCTATGCTGGGATGGGAGTGGTCGAACGCTCCCATCTACTGGTGACTCTGTGTCTTACCAGAGGCATGAAGCTCTGAGAAATTTGTAAGTACAAGCCTCCAGTTTGGAGGAGACTCCCTCTATTTATCATAGATATTTGCTGCTTTGCAGAATCTATATCTTTTTTATTACAGCCATACATATTGTCAACATCTGATGAAGTCATGGTTTGCATAGTCTGCTTGATTCCCTCTGATCCAGTAGATGGAAAAACTTTTTTTTAAAAGTTCTCTCAAAATTTGCATAACAATTGGATGAAAACGTAGATAAAGTAGATTATAACTTGCTGATCTTTAGCCTGGAAAGGTCTGATTGACAGCAGACGCTCTGCAGTGGTTGTAGTTTCATCTCTGTCCGTGTGGAGAACCCCAAAGATTGATTTCCGGGCCTCTGTTTTTTCTCTCCTTCCAGGATGGAGCTATTTTCAAAAGCATACAATTTTCTTTCATGTTTTAAGGATATTACAGCCAGATTTATTAAAACTGAGGTGCATGGTTGGATCCTCTGTCTAGCCTCTCCTTGATTGCCTTGTTGACCTCAGATGAAGGGCTCTTCATTTACTGAATATTAATGAGAAAAAACACCAAAGTCATGCTGCTTAGGCTTAATGAAACCAGAAAGAACCCATATATCAACGCTTTCTTCCTGATATCACATGGCACAAATTTGGCTGGATGACTTTGGAATGGATCTCTCATATAAATTTGATGGGTGAAATCTTTTTTTTAATTATTTTTCTGTTGAACTTGTTTTGGAAGAAAATCTGTTGTGTGGAAATGAAATGCTGAACAATAATTCATTCTTTTAGAACCTTCTTCCTGGATTACTGTAACCCGCTTGTTTTGGGAGTCAGTCAGTCTTCCAGTTCTCACTTCCAACTGGTACGAAATGTTTTGTGCACATATCACAAATTCTAACTCATCTGCTCTGCCCCCTTCCGGTTTGTTTCTGATTTATTTTCCAAGGTGCTTTTATTTGTTTTAAATATTTTAATATCTGTGCTTTTTTAATTCATCTAAATTGTTGCACCCATATGTACAATCTTACTTGTTCAGGTTAGTGCGCCAGATGTTTTTATATGTTCCAAAGATGTGATCCAGACTCAGAGGTGATAATGGACTGCAGCTCCAAAACAGTGGGATGCTTTGTAATTGCACAATAAACAGACATTTCCACTCACTGTTGTGAAGTTTAATTAAAAATATGCTTTTATTGTCTTTCATTTGACTTAGTGTAATGAATGTCATCCACTTTATTTTATTTTACTCTACTGTTTTGTCCGACGTGTTAATTGTTGCATTATGTGTTGTGGTTATATTTACAGCTCTTGTGCATCTGTATAACATTTGTTTATTCTTATTGTCTGAATGAAAGTATAGAATAGTGGGATATTTAAATTGATATTAAAACACATAACAAGTCCTCTAAAGGCCGTTTCTGGTTTGATTTCTGAGACATTGTGTTCATAACAGAGAGTGACATCATTATTAATTTCCGTGATGTTTTATTTTATAGTGTAATGGAATAAAGATTATTACAACAAAAAGACAAAAATAATCACCTTTATTTAATTGATCAAATTCAGGATATAGAGCTGAAATCTGACAGTGTGAAAGCTGCTGGTTTCCCATCCTGATAGGAAGCCATATGACCCAATTAGCAAACTTCCACTGATTTCTACAACAGTAAAATCAAAGACTTTGACTCTCCAGTCAAATACTCAATTGGTTTGAATCTTACAAAAACAAACAAACTGGATTTCTTTGATTCAATAGATAACTTCTCATAGAGGACAGAAGTCACATGCGGGGTACAAGTGTCACATTTCTCTTGACATTTCACATCAAGTGCCAGCACCAGTTGCTCAGTGACAAGTCGGCCCATCAGATCTGTAGCTACCTTCAGAATGAATATTTCCTCCTGCGACAAGAAAGTAACCACTGCTGGGCACTCAGCAGTCTAAACTTTGTCTCTGAAACCAAACCACAATGAAACAGTTCAACACCAATAAGATGGTTAATAAATATCAGCTATGAAATCCGAGCTGCAGCACTGCTAATATAGCTTAGTTCAGCACAGCGAACAAGTAGATGATTCTAAGTTGGCTAGAAAATGTGACACTGAACTGATGAGCTGTGGATTAGTTTAGTTTTGGGTTCAGCTGGAGGTCAGCTCAAAAGTTCACAGAAGTGGATATGAAGCATTGAGCTCTTTATTCCTTCAGCTCCTGCTGCGTTCAATCACTGACTGGTAGCATGATCACAAAGGATGTGTTTATTGTAATTGCTGCTTGGAGTGAAGGTTCCTCTACAATGGCTATAATAGATATGCTGTTGCTGGCAGAGTTTGCTATAGGTGTGCAGGTGTTAAGGGGTTTGCTCCAAACAGATATTTTCAGTATCTCAAAGCCAGTGGTCAAACTCCACTTTAATAAGTTTATCAGGTGACTGCACCAGAAGAACTTTTAATTAGTGCAGATAACAAAGCACTATGGAACACATAATGTTATATCCCATATGCATGGAAATCATTGACTTTAATCCTCTTAGTGTTTTTCCCTCTTTCATTATTCAGCAACTGACGTAAAACATGTTGGCACTCTGCAGAACCTTTTTGGTGAATGAAAAAATAAACCAGTCCTTTAATCTGTCAGTAACATGGACTTTCAAGCTAAACTCTATTTAATTTGATGTCTGGTAGATGAATTTCCCTGTTCCACTGAGTCATCTGTTTTGGTTCCTTCTTCTGCAGGCTGCATCAGGGATCTACGCCTCAACGGCCGTTACATGCCACTGGACAGCCAGCCACGGGACGGGGTTTCCCAGGTCAGCGTGCAAGGGCTCTCCGTCGGATGTTCATCAGACTCCTGCAAAAAGTATCACTGTAAAGCCCCGTTTACCTGCGTGGACTTGTGGAGAGTGCACGAATGCAGGTACACACTCATACACACACGTAGCTGGTATAAAGCTCTATCACTCTTGGCGGCTCACATGCATCTTCATCTTTCTCGGTCAAAGCCGCAACAACTTACTTTTCTGTGTATTCTTCATGATTTGGACTTATTTGGGATCAATCAAAGATCATCACACTTCATCTAAAGATTATTAGCATAATTAACGAGAGTTAATCCAGTCAATTACATATTAATTAAACTAATTTATATTCATTAGGAATCAACTGAGCTAAGAAACCCACGAACAATATGAAGGTTAAGAAAAAAACAAACATAATATTTCTACCTTAAAAATTACTCTGTAAAAGAGGAAGTTTTATGACAAGGAAATGAACTTTCAAATTATTGACTAACCTGAATAAAGATAAAGAGTTCATAAGTCTCACAGAAACCTAAAGTTTCTCCGCAGCCTAAAAGTTCTGATCCACAAGATGGTGAAAACCAGATTGAGATATATAATCTTGTTCTGTCATCTTTTATCACCAGAGCTGCAACAACCCAACAGGAAAAAGCTCCTATATTGATCAGCTTGTATTTGTACTCAGCCAGTTCTTCCACCTCAGTCTGAGAGTTAGTCACTTATCTCATCAGTAGAGGTTTGGACTCCCAAAGGTCTCTGTGTTTCACTTTGATTTTCAGATCAACTTCTCAGTTCACAACATGTCAGAAATATTTCACTGTTTCCAAAATGCCTCTCTGTTTTCACAATCTCCATTTTCAGCATGCATTCATTCCATTCTACAAAAGACAGATGACATTTTAGCAACGTCATACTTTAGACCACCAGCAGGAACAAAATGTGCTTTTGATCAGACACTTTGCTTCTAAAATGACATTTTGAACAGATCTAGACAAAAGCAGATGTTGTAGATCTCAAGGAAAAGGACAACATGTATTTTCACCTCTTATGAGGTTGCAACATTCTGATGTAAATTCATAGGAAAACATTTTATAGAAGACTAGAAAAGAAGTCTTTTGCAAAAAGTTTACCAATTTAACACATAAAGAAACATAGCTAAAAATAACCTGATTAAAAATGAAAAGAAAAAGTGAAAAATACAAGTTTTATTCTACTTCTGTAACATTTAGATTGCAGCATAAGGTGTGGTTATTTTGGGCCTTGTGCACAATAAACGTAAAACACTTTCAGTGAACCCAACTATGACTTTTATTTCACACAAACTCTTATGAATTCTCTGTGATTCAAGAAATTCTTCACACTAATCTACATGCAGTCACATTTTCACATAACTGTATTTTTGTGTTTCTGTTTAGGTCTAGCACATCACCGCTGAAGACACCAGTATTACATGTTCCATACTAAAAATTGCTTCACTAAATAACCATCATTGTACGCAGGAATCAATGTGTTTTATACTTCCAGGCTCTTCAAAAAATAGTTTCATAGATTGCCTCAGTGAACACTCAAATCCCAATACAATTTACAATAAAACTCTCAGGTAAAGTGCCATCATTCATCAAGGATAACACAATTTTGCCAAATACTTTGGGAAATGATGGGAATCAAAGGATCCTGCTGTTTAGGAGTAAAAGCTGAGATATCATCTTTGGTTGCATTAATCTCTTTAGATATTTTGTTTTCAGCTCTATTAGTGAAACAAATGTGCATGAGTAAATAAAGTAAGGCTATTAAATGGCTTCCAGGTGACGGCAGCAGCTGCTCAGAGGAGTCCTGTTGTTTCCTGTCCACTGGCCCTTCACTGCTTGCTTCCAGAAACTTCCCTGGATCTCTAAACAGTTTTCATCTTCCATTTATTTCTAATTACCCCGCTGAGACAGAGTTTCAGCGGGGTAAGAACAACGAACTATTCTTAGTTGGCTGTTGTTATTTAGGTGTGTTGCTGTTATATTAAGACAAACAATTAGGCTGCAAAATTGTGACATAAATAAATTGTTTGTAAAGTTATAATTACATTTTTACACACACTCTACATGGTATTGAATGGCCTATAAATTATAGGCTGTTAGTGATTTGTTGCCGGTATCGGCCATGTTAGGTTCAGTTCCCAACCTTGAGTCCAGCTGTGGCCATTGAGGGAGAGGGCGTGGCCCTGAGCTGCTGCAATTGGTCCAGTCTGGTATCAGTCAATGGGCCAATCTACCAGTTTTATTAACCAATAAGCATCATAATTAAAAAACAATGAATAATTTAAAAAATTTTCTGCCTGGTCTAAATTCACCATTGGCCCATCGGGAAACTGGCCGGTTTGCCTGCAGTTCAGTCCACTGCTTTAGACCTTTGCTGCTGGTATTCCAACCTTCTCCTTAGCCCACTTTCTGTCTGCTTGTTTTTTACTGCTTTATGCCTCAGAATTTTTATTTTTGTTTTGTTGCCTCATTGGGTCGCCCCATGTTACCACAGCCATGTCGTTCTATGCATTATTTTATACTGTTACGAAACTACTAGACCCACAATAACAAGTAACAGGAAGTGATGTCAGAGATAGCCTTGTAATAAAAATCTAAGTACATGGGGTTAATTGGAGGGACTGTACCTCTGCACATGCAGTGTAGCCGTCCATGCTAACCTGAAACAAATGTATTGTTGTTTGTTGCAGACATGTTAGCCTCTAGACTAACCTCCAGGCTCGCTCCTTAGAGTTACCAGCCTCTACAACATTTTAGTAATCCTTTTGATAGTGATGTGGGATGAGTGTTTTGAAATCACGTTACTTATTTTAAAGCTCTTAATTCAGAAAATTTAATAAGTGAAAAAAAAAAAAAGATTCACTTAATTTTCATTGATCTTGACCGTTTTAAAATCTTAAATTGAATTTAATTTACTTTGTCCTTATTGAATCTCCACAACATAAGTTTTGTTTTGTTCTGAGCATACACTTAAACCGATTTGCACACTAAAACTCACAGTTGCCTACTTTTAAAATGTCATATTTTCACTTAGAATGTGATCATAAATATTTATTTTAATTATGATGTATCATGAAAATGATAGAAAAGCATTGCGAACATTACATAGATGGTGGAGAGCCATAAAACCCGCCTTCCAAAAGTCAAAACCAACACATCTGCCTTCATAGACACTAATCAGAGCCTAAAAGGCTGTTGCCTGGTGACAGAATCATTTGAGACCGATGCTCTCTGTGGATGACTGATGCCCTGGATGGGTCTCCAACTTCTGCTTGATCAACATTTCATATGCACTTCTGTGTTTTCCACTCATTAGAATCAGTGGGAACGTTGCGCGGTGCACACACACCCAATCAAACGGCACTCTCAGTCACATCCAGTAGCCTCAGCAATTTCTCTGCTATTGGAAACATCAGTGTCTAATCAGTGTGTCCAGCCTTCTGGCTTTCTAGCTTTTAATCTTGCCCCCATCCACACCCTGGCTTTCTTTTTCCATTTCCCTGATCCACTCACCCACATTATCCATCTACCTTCCCCCCAACAAAGCTCTTTCTCACATGCAGCTCTTCCTTTCATCTGTTATATTTTTATGACTCATCTTCATGAGTTTTCTAACCTTCTACCTCTGCCAAATGCACGGTCTACCTCTCTACTCTCATCCAGTGCATTTGTTCCATTTTCCATCATCTGAACTAAACGGTAAAAGATGAGAGCGCAATAAATGTTGGCACCGAGCCCCTAAGCTCAGAAAAGCTATCCATTTAGCCTAATGAAGAAACCACGAACACGCTTAAAGGAGCAGTATTATGTAAAATGGACTTTTTTGAGCTTTTCATCAAGTTTTAATTCTATGCCCTCATAAGAATCATACCTGGAGTATTGCTTTGATTCTTTCATGCATGTTTGAGAAATCCTTTAATCTCCACGGCAACCGTTCAACCTCAGTGGACCTGTAGCTTCTTCTCAGGGCTGATGGATCTGCACATCATCATAAGAGCTACTTCCCAGTGCAATGTTGGTAACAGCGTTGTTAAAGGGTTAATAGAGGAGCCATGTTGTGATGACTTCCAGAACGCGGAGTTTCAGTAAGAACAGGAGTTTTTAAAGAGACAGAGTCCCAATTTCAAGGTGCTAATTTTCAAAGTCAAATTTCCTTCAGGTCATGTCTGATATATACAGCATTGTCATAACAAGTAGAAGTTGATTTGTTTACTTAATTGTTCTGTAAAATGGCATTATATGCCTGAAAAACACACAATGCTGCCCATTTAAACATGCATGTACACAATTAGGCACTGACAGTTGGCATCTTCTCTTTACTAGCAGTTTTTAGATTCCAAAAAAAGAAAAAAAAAGAAGAAAAGTCCAACAAGCAATTGCTGAGAGCAATGTGTTGCTGAAAATGTTTTTTATTAACTCCTGTTAGCAACAGATCAGAATTCTTGTTCTGGAAGATCTGCTGTGTCTGTCATTAAAATCTGAAAACGCCACAACTTGCTAAAGCTGGGTATGACTCTACTTCTGTTTTTAACACTGAAAAAAAGAGTGGATTAAGGTTAATAAATTAAAGTTATGGCAGTTGTTAAATTTAGGTCTGTTTTTTTGTGTGTTTTAATGACTATTTATTGTATTTCTGAAATTCTGAGCACAGGCTTCAGGGAGCGCTAAGAATATCTGTCTCCAAATGTAGCCCACTCGCTCACTAGGAGTTAGTTCACATGCAGATGTAAATTTAGACGAGTGTATTCCTTTCTTTCTGGGAAAATCCTTCCAGCGTCAACATTCCCAGAGACTCTGTATGCAAAGTTGTTGTGGAAAGGAGGAAAAGCAGACTTTTAAAAAAATAATAATAATACTGCTGATTTGCATCCTGATTGATTTGTGGCAGTGGAACTGTGTCGTTCTCTGATCAGTCACCCCCCATTGCACTCCGATCACCGCTTAGCCATTAGCTCTGGTTCCTGTTTTACACCACCGTGCACATGGCCAGTGGTCATGAATGATGTAGTGAAATGTGTTTCTGGTTGTGTTATTATGACCAGTGATCTGAAACTACTCATCTAAACGGTGCTAGAGACGCCAAGCTGGGC